CAGTAGCCATAGAGCACCCCACGCTGTTGATGGCCACCTTTCTAGGGAAAACAAATAAATAAAACAAATATTGTATAATTTATTTACCATATCAAAAAAATTAAACATCCCGCCTCATCATGTGGTGATTTTAGGCGGACGTCCTCGTTTTTTTGGCGTAGATATTGAAATAGAACTCACGTCCGGCATTTCTTCGTCATCATCTTTGCCATGACCATGATCGTCATCGTCATCGTCGTCATCGTCGTCATCGTCGCCCCCGTGCTGGTTTTCGGCATCGTGATGACGATCTCCATGAACAGGGCATTTACTTAAAGACCCGTATAATTTTTGCCATTGGATATCCCCATTAGAAGAACCCCATAAACTAACAATTAATTTTTCCATAGAGCGTCAAGAATAAGATTTAAGGGCAGCAACCAAAGTATCTACTTCTCCTAACTGATCATCTACATAATGAAACAAAACGTCAACCATTTGTTTAACCCTTAATTCCCCGTTATTGCTCTTCGCCAAATCCTCAATTATAGTAAGTCTTACCTTCCTATCTACAACCCCCAAAATAGTCTTGATGCACTTCTTCGGGTCGGTTTCTGCTAACTCTAGAGTTTTTTTAATAAGGTCTATTTGTTCAGTAAAAACCGCTGAAACCACCGAGGAAGAAGTGATCCGGTTTTCAAGGCTCCGCGTTTCTTCGTTGATAAAACGGATACGCTGTTTTTTAGAAGTATATTTGCTAGTGCATTTGAACCCCATAGCATTAGATGAAGAAACACGAGCCCTTTTACCCCCTCCTACTTGATAAAAAACTTTATTGCCCTTACAGTCCAAGGTTTCATCGCCGTTGTAGGTGCCCTCCTCGGTGCTGTCCTCTTCATCAGAATGGCAGAGCATATCCAATAAATTTTGGTGATCATCGGCAAAATGTGAAGACACTGAGAAGTTTTGATCTTCGGGAGTGATGCCGTAGAGGTCGTGGATCTTTGCCTTGACGTTGTCAATCGTGTCGGAACCTTCAACATCCATAGCGATGGTCATGCCCGTCAAGGTCTTCACGAAGATCTGCATAGCCTCGGTAAAAAACATAGACATGTATAAAAAAAAATTAAAAAATATTCATACTAAAACATAAAATATGAAAGCGTATATAATGCAATCCCAGAAACGACGGGGTAAAGCGAATTGAAAAAGTTTCTTGAAACACTCAAAAAACTGGAGCAACAAATGCTATAGCGGAACAAGATGCAACAATGCACAACCTCTCGTGTCAGATTGCACATGCCGAACTGCACATGACATGTTGCAAAACAAAAGTTTTAAAAGTTTTAAAAACTAAAATATATAGTATTATATATATGAAAAAATCGGTTCAAGATGAATTGTTTGAAATATTATACAAACAAGCAAAACATGAATTAGAAAAACTAGAAATTATCAAAGAAAGTAGGGAAAGCAAAATTATAGAAATAAAACAAAAATGTGTTATAGAAAAAGAAGAACAGGAACATTTAGATAAGGAAATGACGTATTTAGAAAAACAAATTGAACTACAAAAAGAACTAATAGAATTGTATGAAAATAATAATTCATGAAATGTTATAAATACATATCTAAAGAAATGAAGATAAAAATATATAAAAGTTTTAAAAGTTTTAAAAAGAAAAATATATAGTAATATATATATGATGAAAACTATATATGAATTTATGACTGGAGAAGATATTGAAAAAAGCGTATATAAAGAAAAAGCTTCATATCTTGAAGTAGAAATGGACAATGCAAGAAATGAATTTGCAAAAAAACAATATTCATTGTTATCAAGAGTTGAAGCATTGATAATAGAAATGGAAAAATCAATCGTTAAATCTTCAGCAGACGACAAATATATAAAAGATGTAAAACAGAGAAAAAATTATTTAGAAAAACGATTAAAAGAATGTCAACTGTTATAAAAATAATTTATCACAAAAAATATTACAAAAAATATCACAAAAAATATTACAAAATTTCTGAATTTTTGTAATAAAATTTATGATAAAATTTTATGAATTTTTTATCATAAATTTCTGAAATTTTAATGGTGAAATGTGCGAGGGTATGATGTCAAAAATGGGCAAAAATTTATAGAAATGTTGAAAACGTGTATCCCCCCCTAGGGAAATAATGCATCAGGCGTTGGCGGGACGGAGATAAACATGGGGCAAGCCCAAACCTAACTTAAAGCCGCGAGCTCTTAAACTCCACAATCACAAGCCCGAAAACCCTCAGCCTGGAGCCGAAGCCAAAGGGCCTAAGAAACTTTAAACCATATCGCAAGACCTCGGTTTTCAGAAGCCTTGGAGCCGAACCGCGTCGCAAGTTGCAAGGGACCACGCGGGCAAAGTACCGCATGAGAACAATCATCACCAGTCTTTACAGAAACACAAATCTAGCATGTGACAAGGCCGAAATCTCGTGTGTTGCGTGGAGCATGTGCGTAGGCATCAAAGATAGGTGGCATGGATGACTTAGTGTGTTGCTTCAAGCGCATATCTTTTGAAAAGCCTCGCATATTTTATTGCTATGATGTGAAAGTCGAGGCAGCAGCATGCCGAAAGCTTCGAGGGGTGATTGGGTTTGTGGGACGAAGAAAGGGGCGACGAGGGGAAAGGTTATCCGTAGAATGGAGACAAGCACAACTGCTTGGCGACCGCTGCAAGTTTTCTTTCTGCAAGAATGCCATTCACAGCCGATGTTGTGAGCGGACTTGTTATCGTCGGTGCGCTCTCTCAAGGCGACAGACAAAGAGCTGTCACCCCAAGGACAGCTGCATTTGGGCCGCACTTGGCGTGAGGGTGTTGAGGAAGAGATTTCATTCTCAGGATTAATTTAGGGACTGACTGCTATTTGGCTGCAGTGGAAGCCGGCTGCCGCAGAAAACAGCAGAAGGATAGGCTACACTCGGGTTGAGGCCAATACCAGACCGAGAATTTGTCAATAGCAACATCTCAGCAAAGCAGACTGAGGTCCCAACTCCCATTGGAGCACGGATGCGATCGATCGATCCTTCGTCCATGGGGTATCTTGATGACTATGGTCACTTGGCGAATTAGCCCACGTAGTGACGCAGCACGCTGTCAAAAGACGGGGGTCGCGAGGTCAGATGAGCTCTGCCAGATCTTCTATAGAGAGGAGAGATTTGAAGCGGCTTCAACAATCAAGGGTGACACGAGTGTTGGGCTGTCTGCAAGGAGTTCCGAGCAGCGAGACGTCCGACCAAGCAAAAGGCACTCTGCAACGGTCAGCTCTTCTGTGCGTATATCTGGCCAGTACTTGATGGGCCTTGGAAGGGAAACATCTACGTCAGGCAGGGGCCGGAATCTCAGTTGGAGAAAAAAGACCATTGCCCATCATTGTAGCCCGCGCCAGACAAAGGCTTTCCGATTGGGGCGCGCCTTCGTGGCCATACCTCGCAGGACGTTCCCCGTAGTTCACCCCAAAGCACCCCTGTAGCACCCTGATGCACACATCCCAAGCTTGTTCGCGATAGGGTCTTTCACAACATAGTTAGAGACATCTCAGGAATAAGTCTTTAAAATAGAGCTAAAGGCTTTGTTCGACTTCCTGCCTGTCACAAGTGTAGCAATGTAACAAGTTGCCCAGAATTATCACGGCGGTCACGATTGTCAACCTTTCTTAGTTTGGGATCCCCACCGTAATCTCACCTTTTGTTGCATGTATGCTGTGTTGTCACTGTTCCGGTTGCACTCTCACTGTTCTCTGGTCTCTGAATCAGGATGTTGATCAATGTCATGAACTATTTGAGTCCTCGAGACCCACTGTTTCCATTATCTTGTACAAGCTGCATGGTTTTGCGGCAGGACCCTTCTGAAACCGAGCCGGTCTTCAGGGAGCGGTGTGTCCGCAGCAGGAGCTCGCCAACTGCAACGAGCCAGGTGTTCCGTGTTGCACTCGCTTGAGCGTGCTTCAGCTGATTGTGAGCTGGTGTCTTTGACCTTGAAGGAGCCGAAGTTTCAGCCGGCGCAGGCGAGAGTTTGCTCCAGGCCCCTTTTGAAAATCGGGTGCTGTTTGCACATGTTTGCACGTTGGAGCGAATCTTTGCTTGCTCCGTCATGCTTGCTTTGGGTTGCTGCCAAGAAATTGCAGTACATTTGCGAAGGTTGTGTTGCCAAGCCAAGTCAGGCTCTGACCCTCTAGTACGTAATGTCAAGACGTATGCCGAAGAGGTGCCAAGCAGAAGCCCCAAAGGCTCTTTATAGGTGCTACATCTCCGGGAGACAATTGAGGTCTCATCTTTGCCACACTCCTGTTTCCTTGCAGCCAAGGCGCATAGACTCATCAGCAAAAGACGAAGAGCATTTGCATTTTGCCTTCTTTAAAAAATGTGTGTGCAAATTCTAGAAGCGCAAGATCCATCCTTGTTCGACGTGTGCAAAAACCGGATTTCGGTTTTCCATCTCCCATACTGCAATGGAAGGATAAAGAGTTCGGAATTGCCGTTTTGTCAATCGCAGCTGTGCTCAAGCAGGTGTCGCCGAGCATCTCTCCACCAGACAGGTGCTGCCGAAAGTGCCTTGCGAGTGTCGGAGATTTGTAAGAGAGCACCGTGCCGTGTTTGACAGGCGCACGTACGGTCGCCCAAGGCTTGGCAGGGTTGCCTGCGAGGGACAGTTTGCGTGCCTGGGAGAGACAGTTTGCGCAGATCTATGGCTCGGATGGCCAGGAATTCCGCAATGGGACACATTGGTCGAGTCGTGTGTCAAAAACTCCTGCCTTTCGTTGAAATTGGCTTTGCAGACAAACACCCAACTGTGAGATCTACTTTGGCTCGGAGCAAGCAGCAAGATTGGACAACCACGAGACCATGAGAGCGATGCGCAGCTGACGGCATCACTAGTCACCACCAGACTCACAGGACATCACCAGACTAGACATGCTTACGTGCTTGATCGGATCAGGCTTGTCACGCCGCATGTACACAGCGAATAGCATTGCCGGCAATGGCGCCAACTGCTGAGTCTACGGAGGTTGGGTGTCGTGGAGTGCTCGCTGCCCCTCTTTTCGCGATTTGATGAAGTTCTGCACCAAGGATTGCCCTGAGGACAACTGCCACAAGCTTTTTGACGCCACTGCTGTGGGTCCCGCTCGGTGCCAGGACTCCAAAGGGAAGACAAAGTCGACGCTTGGCGGCAAAAGTTTCCTTGGTTCACTTCGGTCATCTCAGCTTCACACCTTCGGACATCAGACATCCACGTTGCAGGAGCTTCTCAAATCCTACAGTCCTAAAGGCAGCTTTGGACATTGTGCAGCTCGGCTCACTTCGGGGAACCTTGCCAGCCTTGCCAGCATTGAGGGTGTCAGCGCAGGAAACACAAAAAGAAGGAAGCCGTGGAGAAAGAGCAGCTGCTCCCCAAGACTCGGGTTGACCGGCGCAGGTTGGGGTCGGGCTCTGGCTTTGGACAGAGTTGTCAGCTGAGGTACGATCAGGCGGCACGCTTCCAGCAGAAAATCAAGCAGCTAGAGGCTTCACTTCGAATATCTTCTTCTGTAATTGCTGATGTTGCTGCTACGAAGTAGAGCAGCTGCCAGGCCCAGTTGGCCCTGCTGGACAAGAACGGTTCGGAGGCGGGGGTTCAAAGGAGAGCGAAGCGGCGACTCCTGTCCAAGATCCGAATTTGCCAGGGCGGAGCCAGCAGAGTGGGCAGCGGAAGTGCCTCCTTAGGTGCCTCGGTCACGCAGCTGGCGGCACACAATGTCCTGATGGACATGTTCAGGTGAAGAAGAGGAGGACGAGGACGAGGATGAGCAACCGAGAAAGCCTATCCAGCCACCGCCTCAGTCCGGAGGGCGCCGTCCTCTGCAGGCGTAGACTGCGTTGACTGCAGTTTCTCCAGGAGGAGATCGCTGCTTTCTGCTCCAAATCCATTCCGTACGGTGGAGTTGCTAGAGCAGCTTGGGCCTCAGACGTGCAGAATTTTGCGCAACACGGTTGCTGAAATCACGTTTCGGTGTGAGCACAAGGAGTGGCTACACCAGGCCACAGGCCAGCACCGTTGTGCGCAACATGGCTGTAGGACCGAGTGCCCAGCTTGAAGGCCTGCGGAATGCTCTTCCTGCTTTACATCATGGTTTTTGTTCTCGAAGTCCTGTTGGTGTATGTGGGCGGATCGCTTGGAGTGGAGCGCAGTCATTTACTGAACAGCATCGGTTGGAGCTTTTGTGCAGCCAAGGCTGGAGGGTTCTTGGTTTGGGAGGTGCCTGCTCAGAGTTTCCCTCGGAAGGTGTCAGAAGAGTTCTTCCATGTTGAGGTGAGTCTGCCGAATACGGCAGCAGCGAGGACCTTATGGAAGAGCTTTAGTGACCATCTTTCTTCGGGATCTTCCGATGGCCATGTGAGCAGAAGATGCCGTGCAGACCGCCACGGGCAGTGTCCGAGCCGTCATATCTGAATTTCACTTTGCATGACCTTGGGGTCCCATCAATGCGGGCTCCACCCACAAAGCTGCCGAAACAGGGCTTCTGTTTGGACCTGTCTTGTGTTGTTTGAAGGAGGGGCCTGCATGCGGGCGACAGAGCACTTGTATTCATGGTTACCACGCCGTACACAGCTCAGGCAGAAATAGCCGATGATCTGCATAAGAAAGGGGAGAAAGGAAAGCACGTTAAGCCACCAAGCCCTAGGCGACTCCCGTGCCAACGGCTTCAAACAGCCTTCAGGACATCCGAGTTCGAGAACATGTGATGGGACACTAAAGCGGGGTGAATGTCACAGCTGACCTTGATAGTCACCAGTCCAAGCCCAGAACACAGAGCAAGAGCCTTCCATAAACGCCTTCCGACGCCAATGAAGCATCAGAGCGATGCTTCCAAGGCCGGGAGCCCCGATGCCCTGGCATATCCTGGCATCCTTGAAGTTTCGCGGGCTCTCTGGACTTGCCCCCAGGCAGATGGGGCGAAATCCGTCGAGGCTGCAGACTCCGCAGGGCAGCGCTCACAGCGGGGGGGGGGGGGACTCGTTGTGTAAGGTTGCAGAGCAAAGTGCCAAAAGGACTCCTGACTCGCTGTGCTTCCGGCTTCCGGACCTCAAGCACAGGTCTCCGAACGGAGCCTGCTGAGCCTGCTGAGCCTGCTGGGCCCTTGCGGCCTTTAAAGGCCGCCCTGAGCCATGCCGGGGCTTTGGTCGTCGGGCGGAGCAGGGCACCGACCTCTGGAGCTGAACTTGGGCCGACGGGGCGGTGGCGACCCGTCTGCCACGGTGAACACGGCGAAATGCGTCATCGCGGACTCATACGGCAGGGGATTTCAGAGGACGCCTCCTCAAGGACAGGTGCATCTCCTGCCGACCAGCGAGCTGACAAGAGCTTGGTCACAACCGGCTCTGGACCCAGAGTACCGGGAGTTTAGGGCTAGGCCAGCGACTGGCTCGGCTTCCATACGCAGCAGGAGGGCATCAAGCAGCTCCTCCTTGAGACGATCTGAGCAAGAGTGCTTCGTTGGCAGACATACTGCATACCAGTTTCCATCTGCCCACGCTTGGCCACAGTGGCAGATGCCGCGACCCACAAACACCACATATGGAAGCTTTCACGCTGCCAGTCGATGGCAGGATTTCGGTCTCTCCCTGGGCCTCGTCGCAAGACAGTTCTGAAGAGGTAGAGTTTCCGGATTGCGTTAGACGTCCAAGGCGCACACTCGCCTGCTCCCAACGAATCTGAAGTTTTGACACGTTGCATTTCCAGCACGAGCTGCGAAGCAGTTCTTGACACTGCAACTATGTTCATCAAATCGAGACGCCCATTGCCGAACGTCACGTTGCACCCACCAGCTAAGCGTCAAGTGCAGGCTGCGTACGTTGCGCGATTTGCGTGCTTAGCCTAGGTGTGGGGACAGCTCCAAAGGACCAAAAAGTCCCCGCATGGAGTCGCAGAGAGAGGATGGATCGGCTCCACTGGCATGTTTGTGGTGTTCCTTTCGTCGTGGCCTTCCTTCAGGTCTTCCCTTCATGTCTTTCACGAAGAGGAATCGCACCTGTGTCTCTTATGCCTTTAACTCTAGACTTCCCAGAACGGGGCAATCACTGCCTCTCAGTATCCAATGTCTTATTTACACTCTCAGATCCGACACAGTCGACCACGCCCTGGTCGACCTTTTCAGCCACTTGCTAGTTGGCTTCGGGGACTTCGGTCTTCCTGCTGTCGGCTTTGGAAGTCTTATGTGGACCCGAGCACCGCCAACGTCTGAACAATACCCCAACACAAGCAACACGGTTCAGAACACCCCGAAACCCCAAACATCAACGAACGAGTTCGATATTGGCGCTGAGGGCATCGGCGAGCTTTATCCGGTATTTCCTCCAGCAGTGAAGCTCGAAACCCGACCAAAGCTTGATTTTCAATCCTTGAACTCGTGCGTGCAAATTCAGAAAGGCCCAATCAAAATTCTTAGAACCCCAAACATATAAAGCCTCAGCCTCCCCTGCAACCCAGACCCTGCATTGCAAGCCCTGTTTGAGGAAACCACCTTAAGGGCTTCGCTCCCCGAAGCCGGATTAGACCTGATGGCCGATTTTGGTCACGGATGGTCAAGCTTCTTCTAACTGTGATTGCCCACGGTGTAGCTTGCCCGAACAAACAGCGAAACAACCGGCTTCCCCAAGCCAGGTGCAATCCTTAACTCGTCGGGCTGACTTTTTGGCGTCTCGGGCAAGGCGCAGCAGTTTGCCGTGCCATGCACGTGTAGGAAGTGCTCTCATTGTCAGGCACGCAGAAGCTCTTCCTTTGGTGGACGAGGTGTGTCCCCGTCTAGGGCACCCCAGGAGCCCTGTGTTGCAACATCTGTAGGCTTTGCGGATAGAACCCGGCAGACCAGACCTACATCTGGGGTCAGCTTCCCGAGCAGCTGCATTGCACACAAAACTGAATAACTTGTAAAGATCCGTGCCTCAGCATCAATTCAAAGGCGCGGGCAGTGCCTCGAACACATGGAGAAGTTGGATGAAGCGTTGTTGTGCTATGAGGCTCCAACCTGACTTCAGTGCCTTTCCTGCCTTGGGGCCATTGGTGATTTGCAGGGCACAGCTCCTCAGATAGTGGTCAATTGTCTGCAATGGTTTCAGCACGACCTTTCGAGAGCCTTGCCAGTTACAGGTTGTAGCCTGGTTTCGGCGGACAAAGTTTGCAGTTCTCAAGATCTGGGAAGGAGGGAACAATGAAATCGCAATGCTCCAGGCAGCTCTCCGACTGGATGCGCAGAGCATGGCTGCTCAGCGCAACAAGGCTGGAGTTTGCTGTCACTGCATCTCAGAGCGATTCAGGTGCATTCTGACACCTTGTGATCGAAGGCTCTCTTGCTAGCACGGCAGCAGAGGTGGCGAGAAGCTGCAGGCTCTTTCCGCGAGGTGGCGCCTTCGAAACCTTTGGTCTTGCCTGGGACCAGTAACTCAGTAACAGAGCCTCAGGTTCTTCGACTCGAGCTGGCATTACCCGTGCAGAAGGTCGGCGCACTCGCACAACGAGAGCTCAACTGAGCGCTCGTTGTGACCACTTTCTGCAGGAGATGCGGCTGGAATTAGCTCGCTGTCTGACAGAAGATGCCATACAGCTCAAGGCCTGACTTTTTGCGCATTCCCTGAGGGGCGGGTGAAGGGTAGAGTATGCGAGCTCGTAGGCTGCCGGCCAGCCCAACATCCACGGTTTCCATGAGGCCATCCAGGCGCACCGTGGGAACGAAACGACAAGGCAAAACGGGGTGACAGCATGTTTGCAGCTAAGGCCTGCGAGACGTATGCTCCCGCATATTTCCAGCTTGGAGTTCATTACTCTGAGGCCATGCTGGGAAGTGCTGCTGCTGCTACGCTACACCCATGAAGACGAAGTGGAGTCTGCCAGTCCCATGAGGCCAACAACTCTGCGAAAGCCAAAGAGATGTACACGAAAGCGGTTCAGCTCCAACCTGGGTGTCCCCGCCACTTGCACTACCATGAATTTGTCGCATTTTTCTTGTTTTGTGCCCGTGCAATGAGCAGGTACGTGGAGGCATTGAACAATCTCGGTGTAGCATGCAGGCAAGCTGGCAAGCCATTCAGCGGACTGGCAACCTCTCAGTACAGTTTGCATGTGCTAATCCTGACGAGGGAGCTTGGCGAGTGGGACCACGCAGTAGAGGCCTACGCTTTAGCGCTGAAGGCAGGCCTCGTGCATGTGCTTTCTCGTGCGGCATCACCTAAACATTTACACAACGCCAACACATCTCAGTGCGATCATGAGTCGGTTCGTTCCAAGTCCTGCAGTCACGTGACCTGACCAGTCCTTTCCTGCGAACTCCGTGTCAGGTCAACCAGAACTGCAGTAAGACCCGGGAAAACATGGCCATTGCATTGCTGCAACTGGGCTGTCGGCACCTGCAGGGAAAGGCCCGCAATGGGTGCTGGTATTGGTTCGTTTTCGACAGGCAAACCCATGTGCACCTGTCAGGAGCTGAAACAAGCTTCGAAAGCTCTGAAGCAAGGGCTGTCCTTCAACTCCAGGCGCGGCCTTTCTGGGAGTCGTGTAACCTTTACCGCCGTTTCGATGAGGAACGCCGACCTCTATTTTAACCTGGGCGTGCTCTATGCAGAAAAAGAGAAGTGGGACCAAGCGAAGGCAGACTTGATCAGGGCGCTTGCGTGAAAAGCCAGCCCGAGTTTGTCAGGTCAACTACGAGCTCGCGATTCATTTTGATCCAAGACACGCGAATGCCCACAACAACCTGGGCGTCATTCACAGGCCGACACTGCCTGCGGATGTTAATGTTGCCTTGTTGCAGATTCAAGCATCTGTTGAGTCACGCGGATTTTCTGCTTATCAGCATAATTCATCAGTGCGTTTATTCTCCTCGCCATGGAGAGTCGGTCGCAGCCTGGTGCTGGAACTAGAGACAGCATATGCCAGAGCTCAGAGAGAGCCAGTATGGACCTCCCCAGCCTGCTCACCGGGAATCCAAGCGATGCCTGGGCCACGTCTGGGGCCCGGAGCTTTTGGTCCACAGGACTCGCGTGGGTTTGTGCCATGCGTCATGGCCGCATCAGGTCCTTCACCGAAGCAGCGAAAGAGTGGGAGCCACAGAGAGTAGCCTCTGTGCCACCTGCCTCTTCGGCCGCATCGACAACCTCGGCTTCTCATCGGCCATCCGGACGAGCTGCGTTGTTGGAGGCTTGGGTCCCTGCTGCACGTACAATACGTTGAGCTCTGAAGCGCAGGTGGAACGCCTTTCGATGATTCCCTCGAAAAGTGAAGCCCGCCATCTTCCCGAAACAGGCCATGAACTTATGATCCAGTTGGCATGCGTCACGCGAATTTTTGCATGGGAAAGTGAAGCAAGGTGAAGCAATCAGATGTTCGTGTCTTGTCAAAAAGTCAGATTGTGTGCATTCTGCCTCTGTCCTTCGAGTCGAGGCTGTCTTGTTCCGTTGAGGCTACCACGCTCCTGTATGCATGCCAGCAGCCACGACTTGGCATCCCGTCTAGCTGTTCATCGACCTCGCACCGTTGACTCCCGGATGAGTTATGTTCCTTGCCGCCATCTTTAGACAGCTGCACGTAACCGACCCTTCAGGAGACTGACTTGAAGACGGAGCGGGGCTGCACCATGGACGCTTGTGAGGTCATGTGAGTTTAAAGAGCTTTCCTTGATGTCATATTTATCTCCCTGTAACTGGGCGAGTGTTGCTGCTCCTCAAAGTTGGGAGCCTAGCCTCGGGGGCCGCAAAGCAGCCTCTTGTTTCTGGCACCTCTGTTTGAGGTGCAAGTCTACGAAGGGTGTGCGGTCCGCTGTTGCTGAGAACTGGAGCGGTGTTGGGTTTATACCAACCGCAGCGGTTTATGTACAGGATCTTGCAGTAGCTGAAAGACTCAGACTGCGAGCATGGATTCTGCAACGGCTGGATGTCATCCGCTCCAAACGCAGCCGATCTGCTTGTGCCAGGGCTGGGCTTGCTCGCACCGATGTTTTCGACAAGTTTTGTGGAGACGTGAACCCAGTCGTGGTGCTGAAGTCTCAAGGCGACTCGGCAACGTCGAGGCAGCCATGAAGTGCTTCGAGAGCGCACTCGAGGCGTGCTGCCATTTTTGCACGAGCTTCGATTCTCCTTACGCTGGGTCTCACGTATTCCCCAGGTGGACAGCAAGATGAACCTCGCCAACAAGAATCTCGGCGCCATCTACGGCTCCATGGGCCGAATGGTGCTCCTGACGCAAATCGCAACATGTGTGTGTGTGTGTGTGATGTATCGTCACATCACAGGGCTTCGCTCATTTCGGATTCCACTGATTTCGGGCTTAGACTCCATGTTGCCTGCATCCTCTGTTGTAGTCGTCTGAACAAACTTTACGGCGATTGATACCTTGAATGCACAGTCGTGCAGACATCACGGCAAATGGACGCAGCGCGCAGGGCGCAGGGTGTGGAAGAAGCTGTGCATCAAGGCTGAACACCGGAGCACATTCGCTAAAGATGACCGGCACAAAGGCAGCCAGCATGGAGTGAACGAGGAGGTACCACACCACATTCGAAAAGCAACTAAGTATTGTCAACGCCGCAGTAACACCTTCAAGCTCAAAGAAGTCGAGTGAATCAGCTTTGCGTGGAAGCCTTTTGGTGCAATTTGTGTAAGCAGTGCCTGTCTCTACTCGCGGGCTTCCTGAGGCGGACGCCATTCGCCTCACGAGGGCGGCCATTGAGTCTAGTCGGCAGGATGCAGAGGCTTCTCTCTCTCTCTCTCTTTCTCTCTCTCTCTCTCTCTCTCTCTCTCTCTCTCTCTCTCTCTCTCTCTCTCTCTCCCTGACAGCATGACGGTTCCGAGCAAGTGACTTAAGTGACCAGTGATCTGACCAAGACATGCGCAGGCCTACAATAATTTGGCCCTCCTTCTCCGAGATCAGTGTGCGTTCGGGCAGCAAAAACACATGCATGACTTCGTTCGTCCTCTTGCCAAATGCACTGCGAGCGTCGGCCTGTCGAGGACGTCGACGCTTGTCTCGAGAACCTGGACCTTTGCATCAGCACCTCGGCCTGCACTGAGCAACAGCGGAGAGCGGGGACAGCGGGGAGAGAGACAACACGTGGCGCCGTGGCACCGTGGCGGCGTCTCCGTGCATCCCTGTGCCTCCGTGCTGCAGGTCTGGAGCCGGAGTCGCTCGGCTGAGAGTTTCGCTTGTCTTTGTGCGCTGAGTCCGGTCCGATGCCGCGCCAGGAACCGGCATGCAGGCTCCAACCGACTCATGTCTCTGAACTACCAGTCCGAAAGACTTCCAGAAGAGGTCTTTGAGGCGGGGTGGGGGTAACGGCAAGGCCGCCCTTTTCTGTTGCCACGTCGCGACATCGCGAGGCGCATCGAAGCTGGGGCAGGTCCTTGGAGCAGAGGCTCGGGCAGGCCGGGGACCAGGGGACGAAAGAAAGGAACACACGCCTTGGTGACGAAACTGTCGAGTCCCTGATCGAAGAGAGGCCTTCTACCGGTGGGACCATGCACAGAAGGGAGCCGCTGCTCCTTTACGTGTGGGCTATGTCTCTCCCGACTTCTACTCGCACTCTGCGGCAGTCTCAGGAGCAGCTTCGGTTGCTGTTGATGCGGTCTATTGTCGATCGTCGTTCCACTTTTTTCTGGAATCCAAGGTTTCTTACTTCATCCATGCAGCGCTCAAGTATCATGATCCTGCCTTTGTCGACGTTGTATGCAGGATGCTCAGGGCTGGGTTTGTGTGCCGGGGCATGTGCGCTCCGACCAAAAAGTGTTCTGCTGGAGGCTACAGCGACGTTGTCCAGGAGGATGACAAAACGCGCCACTTCCGCAGCCTCGTTCCTCGCTGGAGGAACATCTGCGGCCGCAGAGATGAAGAGGCAGCGCTTCCAAGCTACCGAGACACTCCATGCAGCTTCACACACATGTAAAGGTCGCCAAGCTCATTTGGGAAGTCTGCAGCCCAGCAACCATCAGCCATGGCTCACTTGAAAGCTCTGTCCAGTTCTTGCCAGGACGGCATCGACATTCTCGTAGACTTGACTGGCCACACCGGCAACAACAGGCTTGGTGTCTTTGCCTGCAAGCCTGCTCCGGTCCCACCGGCATGATTGGGACAGCAGTGTGCGAAGAAAGTGAAAAAGGCGGGAAGCATCCTGGCAGGTCTGCATCACTTGGTTGGGCTACCCGCACACGACTGGGCTCTCTCGGATGGACTACAGAATTTCCGATGAGCTCTCCGACTGCACCCAATGACCCTTACAGCGCAGTGTTCCGGTTCCTGGCTTCTCGCCTCTCCACTAAAGAAACCGCAGTGAGGCACGCCGACCCGAAGGATGCGCCCGGTGTCGTCCCCGGGCAACTGTGATGTCACGTTGGGTTCTTGCCCCCGGCCGTTCTGAAGTGACTGTATGTCATGTCATACTGTCTAGTGACGAAGCTGGCGAGCTCTGCCCGTGAGGCCTGACCACAGAGAAGCTCCTCTACCTGCCGGACCGCAGAGAACAACGTGCATGGATGTGCAGCGTGACAGTAGCTGCCAGTCTTGGGATGAGATTCGTAGGAGGTTAGTGCAGTGCAATGGTACCTCATCGGGACTGCTACCTTCAGGAGTGCTTTCTGTGTTACACACCTCCGGATTCGGCGCCCCCGGTGCTGTTGAAGTGGCTGGGCAAAAGTAGACAAGCACGACATACATTGGACATTGGACTTCGCTGCACCTTCGAGGCCGGCTCAGGAAAACTACGGGTGTGTGACCTTCGGCTGTTTCAACAACTTGGCCAAGGAACGGCTTGTGAAGTTGCATGTTTCTAGTGCAAGCTCGTCCCAGTTTTCAGGTGAGCACGTTGACCATCAGACTCTGGAGCAAAGTCCTGCATGAGGTCGGCACACGGCACAGTGCAATTCCTAAAACACGATGTACGCAAATCTGCACGACACGCACTTCTCTCCCCGCAGGTGCCGGATGCCAGACTCTTCGTCAAATCGAAGGCGAGCACTTCTGTCCTGAAAGCTTTCTCGAGTCGCACCACTTAAGGCTAAGGCCTAAAAATGTCCAACATGTCACAGGGTGAGAGCCTTTGCTGTCTACTCCGTGTTCCGTTTGGCAGGCTCTCGCGTGTCCGAAGGTCCAAGAGAAGATGCGCAGAGCTTTTGCGATGCAGCTCGGCTATGCTCAGCTCAGCTGTTCCTTACCTCTGACCGTCGGAGACTTCACTAGCCTACGGCATCCTACGGCCTACGAGGCATGGCATCGCAGCTGCTCGCTTGGATCTGCCGGAACCTCTACTCTTCAATGTGCCTCTGTCGCATGCAGGCTAGTCTTGAGCGCCGAGGACAGGATTGCAACCTCAAACGGGAAGCCACCTGCACATGTACAGCAGCTTGCCACAACGATTTGAACATGTGCAATAGTTTCGCATGAGAGAGACACACAGATCACGGAGCTCCGTGCGATTCTGCTCCTTGCAATCTGAGGCTTTATTGATGTGGCTCTGGATACAGCGCCGTATGCTGGAACCACCACGACATGCGAGGCTTAATCTCGCAAGATTGTGCCAGACAGTACTTGAGGTTCCAGCTTTTCAAGATATGCCGTGCAGGCTCTGTACATGGGGGTGCCTGTGGTGACTCTGAAGGGTCGAGGCATCCATGCCGGGTGCTTAGTGCAAACACAAGGTGCAGGTGGGCAGCAATGTCCTGGGTATGACTTTTCTGTGCTTGCATAATGACTGCATACTCCAATGTCGTAGTGGAAGGTGGCCCTGTCACTGTCGTTTTGTCTTACAGTAGCTCCCATTCACTGATGTTCAGTTGCCCCCGGAGAGCCTGGCTACATCTTTTCAAATTGTTGACGCCTTGCCTTGCGTGCACCGACGATCCACGAGATCCTTTGCTTGTTGATTGATTGAAATTGGTTGTGTTAGGCATAAGGAGGCAATGCAATTGTCCAAGGCACAGAATGTCGGGGCTTCCTTGCTTTCGGCCGTGCAGCTCAGTGCTTCAGCCCCAGTTCGCGAAGGCTACTTGTGAGTTTTCCTGCTTCGAACAGTGGGTGCCAAGGACCTGGTCACAGAGACAGAAGAGGAGTTCGTCAAGCAGGTCCGAGGGTCCCATGTGAGGGCCTCGCAGTTGTCGGCCTGCCAGGCGGGTGCATGTGCTCGCAATGTCGCCCGGCTCGCAGCTTTGCGAGCTGGGCTTCGAACGCGCATGCAGAGGCAGCCTCATGACAGCATGGCCGGTTATTCGACTTGCCACCGTCTCGCGTTTGTCGAAAGGTCGGTCCTATGTGACGGTCCGAGACATGTGGCACGGCTTGAAAGGCTCTATGTGCTTGCCCCGGATAATTCTGGCGGGAGAGCATCTCTTGCACTAGACGAACAAGCCTCACGAGAGCTGAGGCCACCGTGATGTCAGCCTTGGCCTTTGCAATCGTGTGCTTCCGACCATGCGGTGCCTGCTCAGCAGCTCTGCCGTACCGATGAGGACTGGAACGCCAGAAGCAGGCCTGGATGGATGGAGGCCGCGGGTGTCGAAAGTTTCGGGCGCCAGGGTGCCTGTGAATGGGCGCAGGAAACGCCTGCCGTCGCGGGTCTCTCTGCAGAGGTGCAATGAGGTCAGGATCTTTGTTTGGATGCCGCATTCCCCATCTGTGCGGTTGCATTCGATCAACTGCTTCTCAGCAGGTCGGACAGCTCGCAGACAAGCCAGCTCCCAGTCGGCAAGCGCGATGTCAGCAAAACAGGAATGGAGAAGCCCCGCAAGGGATGCTGCATTCGGGATGCATCGGCTTGGATCGTCGACGATGTATGGGCCGATTTGGTTCGAGTGCGTGTTGCCGGCGTCCTGTCCAGCCATGGCCGAGCAAGCTGCGGCGGGCGCAGCGGATACGGCAGATGCTCACCACTCTGAAGCTCTGGTGGAGAGACAGGACCTGCGACATGACTGGGAAGCGAGGATTGCCGCATCGAATCGACTGCAAGCTTCGAAGGTTAACTCCTTGATGACTTCTATCCAGAAGCTGCAGAAAGAAAACCTCTTGCTTCGAAAGCGAGGGCAAGAAGTTAACAGGACCGGCCAGTTTAAGCGCCTCCAAAACGAACTTGGCAGACAGGACGTTATGATTGAGGCCTTAAGGTACTGCCTTGGTCCGGAGAAGTCTGAGGAGCTGGCAGCGAATGCCTTAGATGCCCTTGTGACCAACGCCGCAGCACAGTGTTCGTCCTGTCACAAGAGTGCAGCTGACCTCTTTCAAGCAGACGGGGAGCTGTTATGCCAGAGTTGCTACAGTCATCGCTACTGGCGGGAGCCACCTGCAGAGTTGCGAAGGAAGGTGTCAGATGTGGTCACATTTCCTGAAACCAAGGAAGAACTTGAAGCGGCGTGCACTGCGGCTGAACTAGAGATTGCGAGTGCTAAGCGTGCCTTGAAGACTTCGGAGAGTCACGAGTCTTCCCAAGCGGAGGCCTGGGCCCCGGGGCTACAAACAGCCGCAGCACTGAGCAATGTGCTTGCAGGGTACGTCCAGCGCGCAGACCAGCTCCAAAAAGAGAACAACTCGCTGGACGTTCACCGGCGTCAGCTAGAAAGTGCGATCAAGGAGCAGGAGCAGATTGCCAGGCTCCAGCTTCATGAGCAAATAACTGCTTTGCCAACGAGCAAACATGGTGTTCCAGCAATCACCGTGGATGACCTTCAACACCGTCTAAGCATCAAGAGCGGTGAGGTCGATCGTTTGGCGAAGATTGTGAAGGACTTACACCGGCGTCTGTCCATCCAGAAATCCAAGCAGAACTCCATCCTCTCTGAAGGGAAAGGCGTTGCCAGCGCTTTCTCTGAGCTCCAAGAGGACGTGAGCAAGTGGACCAAGTCCACATCGGAAGCACACGCGGTTCAAATCGGCAAGCTGAAGGAAGCCAAGGACCAAGTACACCAGCAGCTGGTGAAAGGTCAAGCGCAGCTCCGTGAAGCACAAGGCAAGCTGCGCAAGTCTGTGCAAGGTGTAGCACAGCAAAGGGACCCGCTAGAGCTTGAGGCCAGAGTCAGGGCCCAGGCAGGAAGACTGATAGAAGCTCTGAAAGGTCTGCATGGGAGCACCGATTCTGGCAAGTTCTGGTCAACGGTGCACGCTGAAGCCAGTGACTTCGGACTGGAACCACAGGTTCACGCAGCTTTGAGCCGGCAGGGTTACGGCGTGGAAGCAGGAGAGAAGCCACTAGACATCGCCGCCCTGAAAGGCGACCTCTACTCTCTGGAGCTAAAGGGCAACGATCGCGCAACGGCACTCGCCATGATCCAAAAGTGGGAAGCTGACCGCAAGAAGATGCAGGATGCATTCCGCACGGAAGCCAAAGAACAGCTCGCGGTGCTGGACCGGGCCCAGAGCGCCAGCGCCTCCGAGCACGCTGCCCTCGAGCTCGCAAAGAGCCAGGCCGATTCAGCTTTAGCTGCGCCGCTAGTGTTCTGTTCTGTGGCCGACTTGCCGACCAGTGGTCGTGTTCTGTTATGCAAGTATCAGTAGCTTTGTTATGCTTCGTTGATAAGCCTCAGGCAGCGCTTCAGCGGAGAGACGCGATGCGGAAAGCCTGGAGTCAGTGTCGCCAGCTTAGCGAATGATTGAATGATTTCCCCCGCTGATCGGACGCGAAGACACAGCGAGGTCCCGACCTTGACTTGGAGGGACTTGGGACGGAGCAGCTGGCTAACGTGTCCCAGGCGACTGGCCCAGCCCTGTGCTTTGGAGATCTTTGGAGAGCATGCAATCTAGCCACGCATGATTTCTTGCCCATGGCAGGTTAACATCGTGCTTGCCAACACCGTGGCGGAACTGCGCGGCAAGCTCAAGGCCAACGGTCCGAAGATGTTCCACACGCAAGCGAGATAGATACCGCGCAGGCAGTTGAGGACGAAATGCAGAATCGACGAGATGTGGCTGAAAGGAATCGGAAGGCGCCGGGTTTGCTGAAACTGCGGCAAAGGCAGCAATGTGGCCACTGGAAAGGCGGAAGAGATTAGGGAAGAGATCACTGCCGGCCAAAGAGCGGTCCATGAGGACCGTTCTGCCAGCAGCGATGATCCGCGCATGGGAATATGCCCTCAGCGAGAGCCCTCGTGCCAATATCCAACGAATCATCGCAAGGAGAACGAAGCAGCTGAGGACGGTGCGGCAGGGACCACAGCTTGACAAAATGCGGCTCTGCCAGAGATGTCCGTGGATCTGGTGCTACTAAGGCCAAGCTTCGGGCTGCAGCCGAGTACTGCACCAGTCTTCTTAGCAATGAAGCTAATGCAGAAGCGGGAGGAGCGATGCGCGGATCGGGCTCTGGTCCTCGGCGCCAGTTGGTCACTGCTGTCTGCGCTTGCGCGTCTGAGGAGTCCTTGCTCCTGGAGCCTCCTTGCTACCGCTGCCCTCAAGGCTCGCGCCGAAGTGTAAGCTACCCATGCGGGCACGTGCACGTTAGATCGCGTGAGGCTTCTTGTCGATTGGAGGGAGACCCTCAAGCTGCAGGCCAGGGACAAGGGTTCTTGCAGCGGATCGGTTCCACAGCTAGAATGGTTTGCAGGCGGAGCTTGATCTCGTCCAAGAAGAGATATCCAGACTGCAGCATACCAGGACCAGCATCTGGGACGCCGAGGCATTTCAACGTCGTGCAGTTCCACGAAACAGGGCTTTGCTAACGTTTTCAGACATGCCAACTTGCTCTTTAAATCTACCATGCTTGAGCACAGGGCGCAACTCGGTTGCGGCCCTGAGAAGTGATCAGGGTTTAACAAAAGAAGTTCCGAACGCCGAGGGTGGGGAATGAGGGTGCGCGAGCAGATCCGAGCTCGTGCTGGCACGAACCATGAGCAAAGCTTCGGGTGTCCCTTGCCCTTCCCGTACTTTAGCGAGAGAGGACACAGCCACACAAAGGTCAGACATGCTTCGCACGACTTTCAAACTCGATCAATGTCGATCACTGTTCCGGCAAGGCTTGTGTAAAGGAGCAATGACTGCGAGTAGTTGGTATGTCAAATGCATCGTTCAGGCTCCAGAGGACATCGAGACAATGCAGGCACAAGTGGCCGAGCTCGAAGCGTCCTCAATGGAGCTGCATGAGGTGCCAAAAGTTGGCGGTGCTGCACTGTTCAACGGAAGTCGTTGCGGTGCAACATCTTTTTGCGTGCCATTCGCCGCAGGAAGTGGCTGACCTTGGCATGAGGCTGCAGGCTGCCACGCGCTCAAAAATTTGGGAAGATTCATGCTGTCGCAGTCTACAATTTCAGAAGCAAGATGCCACCGAGCTGCAGGCCCGCGTCTTGTTGCAGCGAAGGCTTCAGAAATCTGACTTTGGGGTCAGCCCGGCATGGCTTCTCGCTTTCCTGTCGGTCTTGTGTAGAAGCCCCGGATCTTGACCATGACGTTGCCATCCACCCCCTGCTTGTAGCATATGAATGGGAGCTTTTGTGCACTAGCCCGGAAGAGCTGCCGCACGCGTGTCCGCATCCTATAAAGATGTTTATCATCAAGGTACTGGTAGTCTTGTTGTGTAGCACGTGCGCGTGTGTGAGTAGGAACAAATGCAAGCGATCGACCGACAGCTTGTCGGCTCGATCGCCTTTTCGAATTCCCGTCCGCCTTCGCCCTTTCGCCTCTCAGCGCACCATGGCTTCCGCCGGCGCCTCGTCTGCTGTTGATGCCGCCTATGTGGGCTGGGCGGCCGCCGCGGGCTTGGACCTTGTTCTTTTTGGCTGGCGCCGAGCCGACAAGAACCTCGGCCCCCTTCGTCGAACACTGCGATGTCGGGGTCCAAACCGTGGCCCACCTGTTTATCGCCAACTTCGTCTCGGGCGCCACCCACCAGCTCGTGGCAGCCGTTGGTGCGCTCTCGGCGGAGGAGGCCGGCAAGGACGTAGAGGACGGCGACATCGCGGCCGCCAGCGTGAGGGCCCCAAGCGGCATCGGGACGGTGGGCGAAGGTTGGGTGTTGGCCTGAGGCCCAGGCGCGTCGCCGAATTTTGCCAAGCAGGCTTCCAGGCCGACGAGGTCACGATGACCCTCGGCCGCTCCGCGACAGACATCGACTTCGCCTGCCACGAGGCTCTCGGGCGGCTTTTAGATCTTGCCTTGGGTAGGAGTGCCGGCGCCTTGTGGTAGGTGGGTGCGCCGGCCAGGCGCAGAAGTGCGCACCCCGGCACCGGCACCGGTTCAGGGGCGGTGTGCTCGGCCGGGCGCAGTCTGCGCTACGACCAAAAAGGAACCACCGCACCTTGGTAGGAAGTTTTGGCTAACACGTCCTTAGCACAGCACATTGTCGTGTGGCACACGGATTCTTTCAGCAGGAACAAGTGCGATCGACCGATAGCTTGTCGGCTCGGTCGCCTTTTCGAAATCCCGCCCACGCCACAATAGTGTGACTACGACTTGTTGACTGGACAGCCGGCACCCGTCCCACCAGGCGGTTGCCCAGGGGGAAGCAGAAGTGCGCACCCCGGCACCAGCACCGGGGGCGGTGTGCTCGGCTGGGAGCAGTCTGCGCTACGACCAAAATGGAGCCACCGCACCTTAGTAGGAAAGTTAACACGTCGTTAGCACAGCACTTGTTTCGTTTTTCGCTCGTTCCTCCTGATGGAGCTTGAATTGGAGGACTGTGTTTTTGGCTAGCGGATCTGCGACTTGCCCGGTCATGAGAGCTTCCTTCACCGGGCTTCATGTAATCCAGGTCTATGCAGAAACACATGCGTCAGTTTTTGCACTTGCTTTGCCGCAGATGACTGAGGGCCCTACACATTGGCTTCAGGACAAGAGCAATGCATTGCCACATCACCGGCACGGCCGATTACTACAGCCACAGCAACTACAAAGCGCAGCCCTATTAAAACTTGAGTCTCCTAGGAGATTTCTGCGACTGCTCTACAGCTGCTCCAGTGCAGCTAAGCTGAGAAGCCTTGGTGCATTCGAGACTTGTGGACACAACCTGTTAGAGGAGAGGATGATTCTCGTGTCGTGCCAGGCTGCCTTCCCGCACTGCGAGCAATGCCTGTTTCTCAGTGTTGCTGCTTGGGGATGCAGGGCCGCCTGCCCTGGCATCACGAGGTCCTCATTGCTGCCTGACCCCGGCTGCCTTGATCATGCCAGCCGAGAGTAGGCAAAAGTGCGACAGCGAGCAGACGTAAGCAATCGAAGAGCAGGTGGTCCCGTGCGTGTTGATTGTTTTTTTTGCAAGGATTGGCTCAAAAGGACAGCTAATAAATTCAGTAGGGGCCGGCTGGGGGGGAAGCAGAAGGCCAGTTTGCACCTGTGTGTCGTCGCTGTCAGACACAGTTTTTGCCGCAACAGGACAGCCATGGGAAACACTCCCGGCGGAATGCCGGGTGCCGGGGGAGGCCTTCTGAGGGACTGATATCGTGATGCCGTTCGCAAGCTGTTGTCGGAACAGGACAAGGCCAAGGTGCTAACAAAGAGAAGAAAGATGGGGATGACAAGAAGAAGAAGCACGAGGCAGCACCTTGAAAATGCCCTGCTTTGACTCACAGATTCTATTAAGAGTGGTGCGCTCCGGGCGAGTGAAACGTCCGAGTGCTCCCTGTTGCTTTGTTGAGCTGGCTTCGTTGTAGGCAATGGCACCACCCTCCCACTTCGGCAGAAAGAAGAGGAAGATGAAGGGAGCGCAGGCATGGCGTGACACCATGATCTCTCGGCGTCTTGGCCCTTGTCGACTCTTGGCATCGTTTAATGGCATGCGGCAGGTCGCCAGCAAGCTGCCCTCAGTTGTACCAACCTCGAAGCCGCTCGGCTTTGGCGGTACTCTCGAATCAGGGAAGTCTTCGAGAAGAAAGAGAGCTGAATGTGAAACAGTTTACAAAGTGATCAGCCAGATCAAGTCTACCAGCTAAAAGGTGCTAACGAGATGAGCACGGAGTGGTATACATCGAGATCGGTCAGAAGAGAATTGAAAAAACAAGGTAGACGTCTACACAGGTACACCTGTTGTTGTGGACAACAGGTAAATACGGCCAGATTCAAGAACAAATGAACAGATACGTATTTGTATGGACTAATGGTGATGAGGCCTGAGGTACTCCTCCACTTCTGACAAGGATGTCCCTCAGACGCAGAGCTGCCACAGCTCTTCATCCTTGCAATGAGAACGAGAGTTGCACAAATGCATTTGCCAAGTAAGGAAACCAAGCCCTTGAGCCAGTACAGTACTATTTGGAGTAGCAGTCTGGTGAAAAGGAAAAGAGGCTTCAGTTCCGAAACTTCCATGTACAGAGCAAGCCCTAACTTCGCCAAGCACACATCAGACTCGGTCGTGCACGGGGCTCGAGTGTCAGACTGGACTCATATTACTTACGTCCCTGTGTCCTCAAGGTGCTCCCCTGACGGGTCGACCTGGAATTTGGGACTCCAACTTGGTTTGAAGCGAAAAGCCTGCAGCAGCGCTGAATGGACAGTGCCAGAAATTGAAGAAGCACTAGTTATTGCAGCATCGCAAGCATGCGCGTCCGTCTTACAGCCTCGTTGTCTTTGGTTCCTGGACACACGGCGGAATGTAGGCTTTGAGCTGGATCGGAAGAACAGATGAGCACAAACGACAACAAAGGCCCAGGCACCCCGTCACTCCGGGCAAGCCAAGGCCTCTGAAAGTGAACGAGTCATGAACAGCGACGAAGACTCAAACTAGCTCACTGAAGCAGCCGAGCTCCGCCAAGGCAAACCGGCTAAACCCCCCAAAAGATACGTGTTTCCAATCCCTAGATGCCCAAGACCTGGTTCGAGCTTCCTGTTGTGGAAGCTCGTAAAAGCTTGAAGTTCACTTTTCCGAGGACCTGTTTTGAAGTTCACTTCGGGCCCCCCGCTCAGCTCAGGTGCCGGCTCCGACTTCTGAAGCACGACCGGGTGAAGGCCCGGCCATGGTCCTGCTGTTTTCTTCTTCTTTGGGTGATGCTGGCTGCTGGCCTTGAAGTCTCCCCTTTCAGGATTACCTCATGATGGAGGAAGAGTTTATCCAGGAGACCAGCTACCAGTACCTGGCACTTGAAGATTCTCAGATGCGGCGGGACGGTCTCATTGTGGGCAGGAGCAGCAGCGGTTGAAGCCGAAAGAAGACAAGGAATCAGACGAGAAGTCGGATCCTCGAGCCTTTTCCAGCGCAGAGCGCCGCGGCGCCGTGGCGCCGCGCTGTTGTTGCCTGTGACTTTGTGACCAGGTCCAAGCTGGACGACATCCGCGGGACTCCGATGGATGTCGGCTCGCTGGAAGAATTCATCGACGAGCCAAGAGCTGAGCACCGCTGAACGGAGCGGAGTGGAGGGACGTGGGACGGCCCATGTCGTTCGTTACTACAGGAATCACTGCATCGTGTCAACGGCTATGGGCCCTGAGTGCGCCAAATGTTCAGACATATCCGATTACGCATCCTTCTTGCGGTGATGCCTCCAGGTACTATGTGAATATCCTTTCCTTCGTGGACAAGGCTTCGAAGTCCTGCAGCAGTTTTGAAGATTCCATGGCTTGGCACCATGACAGGATCAGTTGGAGCCTGGCTCTTCTATCCTCATGCATCACAAGAATTTGAGCAGTGGTTCTCAGTTCTCAGCAGCCTCAAGATGTCAGGACATGTCAGGACTGCGAGATGTTGTAAATCGCGGGTGCCGAGGTGTGATCGGCCTTTTGGTGGACGAGGTGAACCCGCTCGTTAGCGTGATGAAGGTGGACAAGGCTCGGATGGTCGGATGGCTGCCTGAGGGCTGCACATCGTGATTTTCTGATGCCAGGGTTCGTGTGTCAGGCGCCGACGGAGTCCTACGGGGACATTGGTGGCTTGGAGGAGCAGATCCAGGAGATGAAGGAGGCGAATCCTGCTGTCCCAACTCCCGAGTCGAGTCACTCTATGACCATGTTCGCGATCTATGGAGGCAGTTGAGCTGCCCCTGACACACCCAGAGCTCTATGAGGCATGCTCCTCACAGTCGTTTCTGTATCACATGAGCCGCAGCTCCATGGACTCGGCTCAGGATGTTGGCATCAAGCCGCCCAAGGGCGCATCATGACTGCAAGCTTGAAATCGCTTTGCTCGCTCTTCGTGAAGACTCGAACGTTGGTCGTCAAAGTTCCTGTGGCCCAAGTGATTTCGGCAACCTGAGGTCATTCTGTACGGCGTGCCAGGGACCGGAAAGACACTGTTGGCCAAGGCCGGGGTGCTGCAAAAAACAGCCCGCGTTTATTCATGCTGTTGTGAGAGGCTGTTGCAAGTGAGACATCTGCAACTTTCTTACGAGTGGCCCAGGCCTTACCAGGCTTTTGCCAAGCACATTTTTGCACTTCTGTTCTGCTTCTCACAGCCAAGGTCGGCAGTGAGCTGATTCAGAAGTATCTCGGAGAGGGACCAAAGCTGGTGGATCTTCCTGTTTTGCAGCACATGTGTTGGGCGAATAGCTGGCACGGAGATGTTCCCATCACTGCTGTGCCAGTAGCCGGATAGATGCCAGGTCCGGGAAATGTTTCGTGTCGCGCAAGAGCATGCCCCTTCCATCATTTTCATCGATGAAATCGACGCCGTCGCCACGAAGCGGTGCGCTGGGTGGATTCTCGGGTTCATCGGGTTGTGATTCCGGTTCCAACCAGGATCGTGGATCGTGGGCCCTGGTTTGGTCATTGCGGCAAGGTACGATACTACAAGTGGCGGCGAGAAGGAAATTCAACGCACCATGTCCCTTTGCTACAGACTACTAGCATGTTCAAGTCCAGAGCCATGTGCCTTGCATCGGCCTGTCTAGAGGTTGGAGCTGCTGAACCAGCTAGACGGCTTCGATGACCGTGGCGATGTCAAGGTTGGTTTGGATGGAATGGTCGGGTGCTCGTCCACTCAGAGCATGTGCAAGCTGTCCGCAGGTTATCATGGCCACCAACAGGATGGAGTCTCTGGACCCTGCCATGATCCGACCAGGCCAGCACAATGTGAGTGTTCGTTGTGCGACTTGGATCCTGATGGTGTGAGCCGTGGAGGCCGAATAGATCGAAAGATAGAGTTTCCTCTGCCGGACGAAAAGACCAAGCGACGTATCTTCCAGATCCACACGCCTGGCCCTGAGAAGATTTATCACGAAAGCTCTCCCCAGGGAGCCTTTCGTTTCAATAGTCAGAACTTGTTCTGCCAGAAGGCTTGGGGGGTGTGGGGGGGACCCCCCAAATCTGAGCCAATCTGGGTCCGGTTTCGGCAGCCATCCCCGCGGTGTCCACCGGGGCCTCTTTTTGGCTCCTGGGGATGGGTTTCTAGACCATCCTCAAATGCAAAAACGAGCCTTGGATGATGCCAGCTCCGATTGGGACCCCAGTGACGCTCATGATGCGCTTAGCTTTTCTGTGTACGGTCCTCACTCATGCTCACGATGGTCGTTTGTCGTCTCGGTTGATCAATGAAGCTAGAGCTTTCGTCACCCCCCTCCGGGTCTCAAGTTAATGCACCTTTGCTCTGTTTGCATGTCGGACTCAGATTAGTAGCTCGATTGGAGCACTGCAGCCAAGGGGGAAGATGACCCTCGCAGATGATGTCAACCTGGAGGAGTTTGTCGTTGCGAAGGCGGAGCTTTTGAGAACGTCGACCAGGGAGCACTATGGTACACTGATGCCAGGATGACCTCAGCGGTGCAGACATCAAGGTGAGAAGTTGGGGCATGTCTGCCGGAGTTGACCAAAAGGCTGCTCTATGTGCAGCATGCGCCGTCTTTGCTTCTCGTCCAGGCGATATGCACAGAAGCTGGCATGCTCGCCCTCCGTGAACGTCGCATGAAGGTGACGCAGGCAAGACCTTTCGAAGACAAGCCTAGATGGCACCGTCATGCTGCTTCCTGGATCCTGTCTGAAGTTCAATCTTGCAGTTGTGTGTGTCGGCAGGCGGATATGAGAAAGGCGAAGGAGAAAGCATTGTACAAAAAGAAGGGGTCATACCCCGAAGGCATGTATCTCTAGTGTGCTGTGGCAGCGGTGTGTTATTCATACGTCATTTATTGCTGTAAACCATCACTTGTGTCGGAACTGACGATGATCTCTGAGTGGGTCATTGTGCTTGTTGCACGCTGAGGGGCACACAAATTGTGCACCTCAGAGGGAGACAACCCGCTCGGTGCAACGTTTGCTGGTGACAGCATGCCGTGGACTGCGGGGTTCTAGACGATTTGTAGAACTGCGTGTCCCTAGCCGCAGCTTGAGCAGAGTCACCAGCAAGCCCCGAAGAGTCGGGGCGGTTGAGGCTGTTTCGATTCACAGAACAGCAGCGCAGCCCTAGAAGAACTTTGCTGCGATGCGTCATGTCTGTTTCTCTGTGTTGCACCTGCAGCAGCTGCTCTGTGCAGACGCTGCCGCTGCTGAACTCTCTTGGCTTTCAGTTGCCATGTTACCCATGATGGCGATGTGCTGCGTCGGAAATGTGACGCAGCTGTCCTGACCGCTTACGTATTTAGATGTTATAGCATGCTTGGACGAGAGGGCAGAATTCCACAGACGAAAGATGCATGCCTAAAGAACAAGCGACACTCGTACCAAATCTCATGTCGAGTATCGATGATGTCATCAAGGCGGCCGCCGCTACGCTGTTCCCTTTCCTCTAGAAGATTTCTCAGACATGTCCAACAGTCTGAGAAGAATCGCACTTGCAGAGGCAGCGATTCAAAACGAATTACAAGATGTCTCGGAGCAGCTCAAGAAGCAGGCAGAATGCATGTCTTCCGTGACGCCCGAAGCTCTTTTCAGTCAAACTCTTAAGCGTGATTCTGAGGATGAGCGGTTCGACGAACTGAAGCAGGCCTTCGAGGAGAGACTCGAATTCCTCGTGCTAACGATCTGCAAGCGAGAAAGGGTCGGTGAAGCTCAAAAAGTTCAGACATAAAGACATAACATCTACAAGAAGTCAAAGCTACGCGCTTACGTGTGCATTGCCTTCAGACAGCAATCAGTGTAGGCCTGATCCGAATGCCAACTCAAATCTGAATGCACAGTCGAAGCGAGGAGTGGAAACTAGCTGGCATCTAGAGACACTGCGATCGTCCTCCTGGATGAATATCGATGTATGGCATTTATCTTATTAATTTCTTTACCATTTAATATTTTATTATTACTTAATGTAAATGATTCATAAAGGTGCCATCTCGTTCTCCTTCTGCAGGAGGTCTCTGGCCACGTTGCGGAGCGCGGACGAGAGACGGAGAAGCTCCGCGAGGACGTGGACAGGCCAGACAGCCAGCGCTCGAGTTGCGACATCCGCTTCGACCCGAGCCAGTTTCCTGCTTTGGCAAGCAGGCAGAAGACCGACCTAGAAGCGTTGGATGCCCGTACGAAGTCGGACCTAGAAGCATCCATCAAAGAAGTCAAGGCTTGGGAGGGGCCCGAGGCAGCTGTGCTTACGTGTAGGGTCGTAAGATGTCGCAGCCGGAGGACCGGTTGGACCGGCACGAGAACGACACGGAAGGCCTCGCAGGCCTCGTCCAACTGCGGACCAAGGCCAGTGAGTATTGTGCCAAGACGCATCGAATGCATTCCTGCAGCTGCCAGAGTTCTGAGACAGTGTGCGCAGGTGGATGGCTTTGCTGAGGACTGGGAGACTGGACCGGACTCTGCACCTCATATTCAGATCATCTGCCCATAGGAATTGACGAAAATCCTCGCCAAGATGGAGGACCACGGTGGTCTCCCCGGCGGGAATCGATAACGTACTATAATGTACGTAAACTGTTGGTGTCAGTAGGATGGGTTCACGAGCTAAGGGAAGACGGTGGCTTCTTCGAAGTCCCGCACTGACAAGTGTGAGGAAACGTTGCGCGACATTGAAAGGCCCATCGCGACCCGCACCGGTCTAGTTTTTAAGTTGCGTTTACTCCATCACAAAAAACGCGGCACCCCACTTGTCAGGAAATGTGATGATGCCGCATCCACAGTCAAGACCAACCAGGTCGTGCGGAAACCAGCACATTCCCAAGCAGAGGCAGGCAAACCATGCCAAAGTCAGAGTGTGCAGGACACTTTGCAGAATGTCGAGCAAACCTGCGTGGATGTGCGGGAACGTCAGCAGGCAGCCTTTCCTCTTGTGTTCATATAAACATGTTGCTTCACATGCTGCTCTGCATCTCCACGATCTCGACAACATGATTTCGCAACCAGGTGGTGGAAGACCAGGTGGTAAAGAAGTACGACTCGCTTTGGCAGGCTGTCCTGGCCATGTACTTGAGCCAAGTGTGAGTGCCTGGATGCATGCAAACACGTCATGCTCTCAGGATGTGCTGAAAGAAATGGAGAAGCTGAAGGTGAACCAGGAACAGCTGATGATGGAGGTGCGTTGAAGTTGCATGGTTTGACATGCCACATTGTTGCATCACTTCTGTATCGCTGGCCGGTGCATGGCCATTGGGACATATCGGAGGACATACAGCGCAGGCAGCTGGATCACAGGCGGTGCATGGCCATGCGAGATCTTTCGTGGTCAAGTGGCATCCGACGGCTGCAGCGAGCATGATCGTCCTCCAATTCTCGGACCGGGCTCAAGCAAATAGGATCCCCTTCGTCCTTGCCTTATGCTCGAGATTATCTCCTGGAGAACGCCAGCTTCCGAACAGAGCTGCCTGTGCTTGCCATGTGTCCAGTTGGAGAAAGCCGTACTGTTTCAGAAAGATCTGCACACATGCTGAAGCGTGCAAAGCCTCAGGTAGACTTCTGAACACATGCCTATGTCTTGTGAGCATTCCTCCCACGCATCCTGGCTCATTTGAGGATATTTCAGGTTCCACCTAGTTGGACTTCATTTTTGGGCTTGCTTCCGCAGCTGTTGATCTGTTTCTGACGCACGAACGGCCGAAGTCAAATAATCTGAGCTTGGGCGCGAGCGTCTGACATATTGAAAATCGCAAGATGCAGGGCCGCGTTTCATGTTGACTCACTGGCCAGTGTTGAATTGTCGTCGCAATGGCACGCCATGCGGTGCATGTGCTCCTACAGGGTGGCCCGTTTTATGTTGACTCACTGGCCGACAACTTGAAAGGTTATGACAAAGGTATGCTATGAGGTGCATGTGCTCCTACAGGGTTGCTGAAGCCGAGGCTTTGCATTGGGCTGCTTGTTTCGCTTGGACGCCAGCTTTGCACCACCGACGATGCGGACACCAAACCGGTCGATACTGCTACGAGCGTAGAGGACAGCGCCTTCAGCAAGGAAGACAAGGTTCTGGCTTTTCACGATGAGCGTCGGCTGTGGCTTCTTGCCCTCGTTCGCATATTCGACGAGCGAGCCGACCTGAAGATTTTTGGACCTCTCATTTGGCACTTTTTAGACGACCACCCACGTGCGGTCCGGATTGCTTGCAACGGATCCCTTATTGAGGTCGATTTTTCTGGACGGTCACAGCAGAACACTCTCCAGCAGTTTTCGGGCGAGCCGATGCAGTTTCTCTCGCATCGCATCCTTGTTTGTGCTGAAGAGAATGCCCTCGCATTTCACGAGGAAGATGGAGTTCGCAAGCTGGTTTCCGAGCATGTAAGTGAGATCCGTTGCCTGGCAGCCTGCGAGAACGTCTTTGCGATTGGTGGAGCAGACACGCGGGTGGAGCTGTGGCGTGACGGGTCTGAGGGGGAGTCTTTGAAGTTTGTCAGTCAAGAATGGAGCGACTGGACAGGTACAACGTACTTGGGACACACAGCCCCGGTTACTGCGATCTGCCTCATGCAGGGCTGGCCTGTGTCTGCTGACGCGTTCGGTTCCGTTTGTTTCTGGAGATCTGGTGGAAATTGTGACATGCTGCAGCATGCTCCTTAGCTTGGTTTAACAGGTTCCATGCAAGAATTACGTTCGTCATGTGCAAATGAGCGAGGCTCACGAGACTGCCGTGACCTGCATTGCAGTTTTCGACGACGAGTCATTCCTGCTGCTGGGGCATGAGGACCGCAGGGACAGCCCATGGCAGCAACGTTGCAGGTGAAGGTCCCTGTTGAGCTCTGGAGGACGGCGTCTTGCAGTTGGCAGACACTCGAAGCAAGAAGGCGGGAGAGTCAGTGGCCTGGGTCCTCGGAAAATGCCGCTTGACGAGTCAGGTCGTGAGGCGATGGCGTTGTGGTGGAGTTGTTCTGGACATGGTGGCTGGGGTAACTGTGTCGCATTGGAGGTGTCTGGGATGTAGTCTAGACCTGGTGCAGTGTCCTGCCACGATGTTCTTGGACTCAGCCATCATCGCCCTCATCGTCTCCACCTCCTCTGTCAAGTGCCAGCCATGCTCTCAGACAATAGCGGCAGTGAGTGGCCTTCCACGGCAGTGGATGCATTCTACAGGCCGAGACATGTTTGTGGTCAGCACCGACAGCCTCAAGCGAGTCTCGCTCTCTGAGACTCGTGTCTTCCAGGCTTTGCAAGCTTTGGCGTCCATTGGTAGCTTTATGTGCAACGGACCTCGCCAGGTTGTGCCGCTGGCTGCCTCTGCAGCATCCTTTTCGGGTGGATTCCTCTTCACTTGTTGCCAAGAAGGCAAGGCCGCAAGGCCTCACATGTCCAAGCTGTATTCGCCGGGATGGCTCGCACAGGCATCGTCGTGAGGACACTGAACGGGCTGACCCGAGCCGTGCTGCCCTTTGCTTCGCAGGACATTCCTGGTCCGGTCCCACTAGATTTGCCGATTTGGTTATATAAGTTATAATGATTTTGGCTGTGATGACGATTCTGACAGCACTTCGTGGAAGGGAGAGAGACCATCGCAAGCCTGCCGCACATTCAATCAAGCAGGGTCAGCTGACTAAGTTTCCATGGCAGCATCACAGGGTGCATGGCGCCGCCTGCGTGAGTTCAATGATGTGCATGAACATCGGCAGCTGCCTTATTATGACGTGCTTGGAGTTCCTATTGATGCATCGAAGGCTGACATTGTCCGTGCTTATCGAAAGCTGTCGCTAAGATTTCACCCCGACAAGCCTGGAGGATCAAACGAGAGGTTTCAAGAGCTCAGCAAGGCTTACACCTGCCTGAGCAACGAAGACAGCCGCAGAAGGTACGACGAATGTGGGTTCGATGAAGACAATATCCCGAATGCAGAGGTGGATCAATTCGTGGATGCTTTCTTCGGAGAGGGCGCACGGAACGTGGACGGCCGTTCACCGGACTGGAATATGAGCAAAGTCGAGAACTACGTCCGCATTGATCTTGCTGATGTTCCACTGCATATGCGAGACATCGTTCGGCTAGGACTGAAGTACATCGTGTCCCTAGAACATCAATTCGAAAACGTACTCCTGCTCCAGCACGCAAGAGTGGACATTCTGTACTTGATGGTTGGGTTGGTGAATGACAGCATCCTGACCCAAGACGTCTTCGAATCGGAGGCTTCCTACACTATCACGTATTATGATAACCCGTTGCAGCCAGGCATCACTCCAAGATGGAGCGATCAGAATCAGCTGGGGGGACGGAAGGTCAAACCAGACTTGCCTCGAAGGGAGCTAAACTTTGAGGAGTTTCAGCGTCGCCAGAAGCACGCCCTCGCCATGCTGCAAAACGCCCCTGCTGACCCAATGGCAGCTCTGGAGGAGAAGTATCGAAGCAAAATGCTGGCCCAGCAGCATGCTGCAGCTGTGCAGGATTGGAAGGCACTGCGTGAACAGGATGTTTACGAGGAAGATGCGGAGTTAGACTGCAACAGATATGCAGATCTTTTATCACAAAACAAAGCTCAAGCTCCTGCACCAATGCAAAGTCCTCAGCCAACAACCCATGATGGAGTGCTCCTTGTCGTTCAGGAGGGTCGTCTGGAAAAATTGTCAGTCGACCCTCCGAAAAATCTTCACGTGTGCAGCGAGCGCATGTCCATGTTTTCCTGCTCGGGAGGTTGTCTGCCAGAGCAATGGTTAGCCATCTTCGCTAAATCCCGCTTTTAATATGAGTCCCGCTTTGGTTCGGCATGCCCCTTGAGCTTGCAAGTCTCGAGAGCCCCTGCGCGGCGCCGTTCCTTGAAATAAGAGCTGGCTGCGGACTGTACCTGTTCGTTTGGTCCGGCCTCCGTCTCAGCACACGACCATTAAGACTTCTTTCGATTGGCAACACCGCTGCTTAAGCCACTAATGCAACATAATGCAACTCACGTTACGACAAAAGCAGAAACAAAAAAAGCAGGAACAATTGCAACAGCCGCAGTGACAGCAACGACAGCAACCTCAACAGCAGCAGCAGCAGCAGCAGCAACAGCAGCAGCAACAGCAGCAGCAACAGCAGCAGCAACAGCAGCATTTCATTCACACGCAGCGGGGGAGGACTGTCTGTGGTGAAACTTATCGTCCACGCTTTGCGAGGGATCGACCTAGTGCCCTGCTTTCTACTTGCGCGGTCACTCTTCACGGCAAGCCGTGCCTCAGCGCTGCACTTGCACACGCTCCGCCCCTCAGGGCTGCAAGCTGTGAAGTGGGAAGCGAATGTGTCTTCAGAGTCTTATGCGGCATCGGTGGCCTGTTGTGGAGAGGGGTCCCCTGAGGGAGGATCTCCACTCTTGGCCTTTGCTGCAGGGGGAGTATCTCCACCCTCACTTTGCCCAGTGCTTCTCTTTTTGGAAGGAGGAGGAGGGGGAGTGACTCCGCCCGAGGGGAAAAGCTCCACCTGATGTTCTCCTACTGTTTAAAAACCCCTGGGGAGAAACTCCACCAGCTGTACCCACATGGCAAGGGGAGAAACTCCTCCGATTGTTGGGGAGAGTCTCCTCCTAAGGGAGCATCTCCGCAAGGCTCGCTGGAAGAGCTCTTGCAGAGACATTACTCGGGAGATTGGCTACGTCCTGGGGCTCGTGAGAGACGGCGCTGCGAGCTAGGAAGATGACGTAGCTATTTTCTTGAAGCAGGGGATCATCGAGGGTACAGGGACTAGGGGGGTGGGAGTCATCACCAACATACCAAGCATCTGCTGCACGTACAGCTGCACGGTAATGGCCACTAGTGGACTCCATTCCTAGGTGAATGATCACTGCCTCTACTGTGTAGGTACAGAACGAAACTCGGGAGGTGTGGTCCAGGAAGACAGGGATCTGGACTTGCTGTGGGATTGTGATGCGAGTGTGATCCTTAGCTTCACCTGCGAATCTCGGCAAGGCTAAGCACACCTGCTGTGCAGCTTCTATGAGAGCACATGAGCGCTCCTGAGACGACCATGCCACTAGCATGTCCTGTAAGTTGGTCTTGATCGCCGTGGCAAGATGAATGGGAGAGCCCCCTTCTTCGTCCACTATCACGCCTTCCGGTACTGAGGCTCTAGTTTCCCACTGTCCAAATCTTGATGCAGAGAGATTCCGAAACACTTGCTGCAGGAACTCAGCAGAGTCGTGCTGGCCTCCGTCAAAGAGCCAGCCCATGGTGAGCTCCGAGAAGACTCTGTGTTCAGGGGTTATTCTCGCAAGCTGACTGATCCGGGATGCCTCTTGAAAAGTCGCCTCTGAAGGATCTGATAGCCAGTGGAGACACTGCAGACCTGAGTTGGCATAGCAGTGGTTGCGAGTATTGGCTAGCAGGAGAAAGCCTTCCAGTCTAAACACGGGGTGAGGAATTCCTGGCGTTGAATCTGAAGGCTTCTGTTGTGACTGTCTTCGCCGATGCCGTGGACTTTGCTCGAGTATATTCGCGGGGCTGCTTGCTGAGCTGCTGGCGCGCTACCTCCTGCAGTACGTGCACCTGCAGTAATGGAACGCACTGCTGAGCATGTCTACCCGGGGCATCCACACGAAGTTTGCAGTATCGACAGCTATCTCCTTTGTGGAAGAAGACCTTGAATTGATTGAGTCTTGGTTGGAGAGTTTTCTCCAGCTTGGCCATCACCTCAGGATGCTGCTTGTTTAAATGCTGTTTGGCTCCTTTCTGGCCTACGAGGACCTGACCACAGAGTGCGCAGTGTTCCATCAGGTAATCATGGAACGCCGGATTTCGAGCGGCGCCTTCTGGATTGTCCTGGGCATCAGACTGTAGACTTTCTACGAGTGAGATCCGGTTCTGTGCTTCTAAGGGTAGCTCTTCCTGCTGTCTAAGCAAAAGCTCTACCCTAGGGCAGGTAGATGCTTCGACATGTTTGCGCAGATAAAACACTGTTCGGAATGTTGCTCGACAGGCGATGCAAGTTGCTGACCCTGGCATTGAATGCAAAATAGGATCAAATTTGGGTCCTTTCAGGCACTGCTGAGAATCTGGGTGAGCCTTCTGCAGGTGGCGACGGAGTGCTCCGGTGCCAGAGAGACATGCTCCACATTCACCGCAGGTCAGAAGCCTATCCTCCACATGGTGCGAGGAAAAGTCCGTGGAGAGGCCTTCCAATGCCTGGCTAACTGCCTCAGCACGCAACTTATAGTGTGGGAGAAGCTGGGGATCGGAGTGTTGCTGTCTCTTTATAAACTGGGTCATTCTCTTTTGCAGCTGCTCCTTCACGTGAGGAATCCGTAATCTCCGGAGTAACTCCTGGTTTGATTCCTTCGTTTCCTGGGAGTAACTCCGCAGGACGAATCTGAGTTGGTACATCATGTGTGAATGGAGCTTTTGCAATCCCTGCTGTGTCATCCCCACCACGTGAAGTGCATACAGAGCAGAGGCCCACGCAGTTATTGTCCAAATCGACAGACGACGTCTGTCTGATAAGACTCGGTGGTTCCGAACTGCATGGGCTACTTCTGACATTGCAAGCTTACTGGATGACAGCCGATGTTTGAGAGTCTTCATTTCATAGTCGTGATAAGAAAGAATGACCCCCAAGTATGGAACCTGATAGCGCAGCGATATCAGCCTGCCCGAAGGGAGTTCAACATACTTCTCTCCCTCGACCTGGCGAAAGAGTTTCTTCCTAATGGTCGAGGCTGAGCCCCCTTGCAGCTGTAGCAGAATTGCTGACTTGGGCGGATTGACCTTGAACCTAAGCTCTACCAGCTGATCCAGAAGCATGTCGCAGTACCCTAGTGCTGTCATAAGGCCGGCCGCAGAGTCGAAATGCGACTGGATCAAGCTATCGTCAGCGTACATTGTGAGGAGCTTCACTAGTTCTGCTGGGCTGATTTTCCCAGAGAGCTTCCTAAAGAGAAGCCCTGATGCAAAGGCGAATAAAGAGGGTGCTAGCTTACATCCCTGCTTGATTCCCCTGCGTGTGGCTATCTCAAAGCTCTGATCGCTGGCTGTCATCTTGTACAAGGCTTTGATGTGGAGATGGCCTACCACCTCTATCAGAAGAGGATCTGCTTGTTCGGCTTCCAGGGCCTCTCTTAGTCGCAGCCTGTTGACAGTGTCAAAGGCTTTGCTCATGTCCACGCTCATGGTGAGACTGCCTCTGAGCTTGAGCCCCTGTTGTCCCTTACCTGCAGCCCTAGTGGTGAGGGCCTGTCTGAACCTGGCCTGGTCCACATGTGTGAGGGCCTTGCAGATAGCCTCCTCTGTGCCCCTGCCTGGGACAAAGCCGAACTGAGAGACGCCGGTCATTGCTAGCTGGAGGGTAGACTTGAGTCTCTTCCTCACGAGTCCGGCTAGGACCTTACCCTCAGGTGCTATCACCCCGATCGGACGGAGTGAGGTTGGTTTGTCTGGCTTCTTGGGAGGCTTTGGGAGCCAGGAGATCTGTGACGAGGTGACACTGTCCGAGAGC